CCCTCACATATACTAATGTGCCACAAACAGGACTTTAATATCACCAACCATTCCCATGTTATTACGGTGTATCCATATAAATGGCCCACCCTGTATAACAAAACCTTTTACAATGTTCCAGTAGGTTGTGGCCAAGGCTGCTGCAGGCCTGTGGAGGTTAATTGAATGGCAATAAGCACAAATGACAAATGCACTGAGCTGTGTTGGTTAAGGGAAAGGTATGGATGTCTTAAAAGTAGAACTATCTCTGTTCACTATCTCTGTGATGGGTCCATGTGCAGTTTCTGGGTATTATAGTTCTTTGTTACTGTGACAGAGCAAGCACAGGGCTCACTTGTATGACTTGTGATACAGATGAACTAAATAAACACATTTCTAAACTAGAAGGTTTTAGTGCTGTGAAAATTTCTTATTGCATACTTGTCACATTTGTCACAAGCTAAGTTCAGTTTCACTAACTTCACCTATGCCTGATTACTGCCATACCTGTTGAATCAAAAAAACACTTAATAGTAATTGTCTGACAAAGCTAAGTAGGCTAAATAATCTCAAAACCCAACACGTTATGCCACAACCTAAAGAAACTCAAGGGCAGCTGAGAAAGTCATTCTCAGCCTGGAAATGGATACAAAGCCATTCAAAAATTGGATTATGTATTGTCTCAAGTTATCTTTGTCTGATATTAAAATTTGTTTGATGATCTGAAATATAAGCCTGACAAATATGCAAAAAAAACCCCCTAACAAATCAGAAAGGGGGCAAATACCTTTTCACAGCAAGTATTTACACCTTAAAATATATTATCTCTAAATGCTGTTTGTTTATTAACATGTTATGGACTGTACTATATGATATTCTGCACAAATGATCATTACAGGGAGGATTCATACCTTATTCATAAGCCCTCACTTTAGGCAAACATGTATTATTCAGTGGGAACAGTTACATCTAAAGTTTGATTTGAAGGCTTTTTGCATCTGTTCTGAAGTGAATATATAATGCTTGGAATGAGGTTGAGCACATTTCCGATAATATTTAGACTTGAGGTGCCCCAAAGTCAATCTGGGATGTGGTTGAACAGACACAAGCACCCCAGTCAGCTTAAAAATGGAAGAAATGGGACAAGTTCATCTAAAATTTTTGGAATGAACTACCTAAACTACCATAAATTTATGTGCAAGTGTACCAATGAAATTAGATGCTGTAAGTGGGATAGTTATTAAAAATGTATGCACAGTTCCACCGTGCAATCACTGCAGAGATTTGTGGAAGAGAAAAGAAGAAATTGCTGGTGAATCAAGATGAGTGTGATTTTTTT